ATTACAAAAGACCACAGAATATTTCAAAATAGAGAAAGGTTTGAAAAATGGAGTGTGTGTGTGTGTGTGTGTGTGTGTGTGTGTGTGTGTGTGTGTGTGTGTGTGCGTGTGTGTGTTTTCCCGGTGCTTTAAACAGGCTGTCACACTCGTTACCCAACCCTCCTGAGCATGTTATGTCAAGTCAGGTTTCTAGAGTCTTTAGTCACAGTTACACTCAATGCGTTTCCCAACAACTGCCTTATGAGAACAATAACTGAATCAGGTATCACGTACCAGGTGTTATTATGCAATAACTGACTCACGGTAAAGACTGATGATAAATCTTGAATAACATTTCAACAGTTATTTGAGGAGGAAAAAATGTGCACCTGAAAGTGGGCAGATTTTGAATTAAAATTTGAGTACTGAAGATAACTGAAAAGATTTGGTTTGTGTCATTGACGCGCAGTGCTTTGATATTAGTAAACAATTTAAACACATTCACATGAAAATAAAAATAAAAAACAAACCTAATCAGTTTTGGTGGTATTTAGGCTGTCACCTGCTTAGTTAAGATTCCGTAGATATTAAATGAGGTAAAAGGCTATTACCTAGCTGAATGTTTATTTTGATCTCTATTTTAACTCATTATTTGCACTTTTTTTGAAAATGTAAAAGAATAGATAAATAAAGGACAGTAACGAACTGGATTAAATGAAAGGATAAAAAGACTAAAAAGTCCAGGCTGAACTTTTAATGTAGGCCAGCACTTTTACCCAGCTAAATGGAAATACTAATTAAATTTCACCTAAAACAAGGCCAGAGATAGATTAGTATTTTTATGACGTGTATTTTTTTAATGTATCTATCGTGTGTATGCTAAATTTCAGTTTAATAGTAAGCATGTCCCACCCTGGACGCAGCGACGTGCTCTATCAGTGGTAACAGGCCCCGCCCCGACTATCAGCATCTCCAGTCAGTGGGGAGCAGCTGGGAGTCAGTGTGGAGGAGCAGGAGCAGGTAGCAACGGAGTTCAGCGGCTCCCGCGTTCGTCCGACACTTAGCTAGGGCTGCTCCCCAAGCAGTGGTGGTGGTGATGATGGCGGCGGCTGTAGAGAGAGGGGGCGTCCGTGCCGCTTTCCTGAACCCGAGCAGCGGTGGCGGTGGTGGACCAGCGCCGACGAGCCTCCCGACCGGAGCGTTGGCCGGGGCTGTGGTCCTAGGCTCGGGCTCCGGCAGCATGCCTGTGCCCATGAACCTTTTTGCGACTTGGGAGATAGACCGATCATCTCCAAGCTGCGTCCCGAGGTAACGTTAACATTGGCATGTTAGCGTGAAAATACCACAAATCACAATGTTTGCAAGCCTCCATAACGTTGAATAAATCTTTGGCTAACGTTTGCTTTAACAACGCCCTCGCTGAGTGGAACGTTAGGCAGGACGGACTAGTTGCCTCACATTTCCAAAACACTGTTGGGGAGCTAACTGTCAAGCTAACTAGCAAGGTGGCTAATGCTAAAGCTACCTAGCAAATGTTTTGAAGTTACTATAATGTTTTGTGCTAAATGCACATTTGTTTTGCCACGTTAAGGTGCAGTGCGCCAAAAGTACCAATGTTAAAATTTCCATTTGTATCTTAATAGCTTAGACGAATTAACAAGCCTGTAATAATTTATTAACACTCGGTGTTTTTAATGTATTTCGACCGTTATAACTGGCTAACAAAAGTTCAGCTAACCAGTTCATCTGTTAGACGGATTCTACTAGGTTTCCTTTATGTTCTTTTTATGGTGATGAAGCTTTGCACATAATAAATGTCCGGATAGGCCTGTAGTTGATTAGGTATAAGGAATGCTTGCCACCCAATAGCGGCATAACTATCTATAAATACAGTGGCATGGATGCCGTTCGTCTCATAAGCAACAGACATCCTTTTTATCCTTTTGCAGCCCTATGTGTCATGAGCTGCCTGACCAAACGAGCAGTTCTGCAGCTGCCTGGCGATTTGAAATTCCCAGAATTTTTAAGTTCTTATGCTGTGGGTTGTGTTGTGATTACGTCTCTATAGATCGGAGTCGACTACCCCGTTATAGACAGCAATAAACAGTCACAAACAAAGCGACTCACAGTAATGACGAAACAGCGGATATGACAAGAAATTAAATACTTTTGATTGTTTAATGTTATTGTTTTCCTGTTGCGTTATCAGTTATCTTCTGCGACACTTTGCGTTAGTATTCTTCAGCAGTGAGCAGGCATTGGTGCCACCTGACCAGAAACCTCTCGGGAGCTGTGGGCACATTAATCAGCTTTGACCTAGATCTGCTCCACTCATTGGGATAGAAGTGGGCTTGGAGGGGAGGGTTTCCTCTACAGTCAATGTAGAGGCCGTATGTGTGTATATGTGCCTGTGTCTCTATAGTGCCTGCATGAGCATGTATGTACGAACGGAATCATTGCATGTGGGAAAATTCCTGATCTTTCAGATCCCTGTGTGAATGTTGAATATTGTTCTGTTTGGCTGTGATGGTTCAAACGATTTAAAGCCAGCTTGAATGAAAATGAATCGTCTTTGAAGTGACAGCACTGCTTTTAGATTATACAGCTCCCTGCCCTTTTTCATTGTAGTCCTGTTTCTGAAAATGTGATTTCACTATTTATTTAGTTGCTGGACAGGCCACAGCAAATGCTGCACAGTGACTAATGCATGAGATTATTTTGGATAGTTGTATCTGTTAAGTTTTAAGATTGTGTTGCAGAAAACAGCATGTTGTGCATTCATACAACATGCAATACTATGTACATTGATTTCCCACGTCTGTCATTACACTGTTCTCTGAAGTGGATGATGTACAAGGCACTGTATCCGAGATGAATATGGGTGAGGATCACAATGAATTATTAATGAGTTTTACAGTGAAGGTACACTGTTACTCGACCCACAGCTTTCTTGTTGATGAATGGGATACTTTGTTAGATCTGATATGTATGGAGAAGAACTTATTAGGCATATTAATTCATGACACAATTATTTATTCAGCCTGAAAAGCCTTATTGTAATTATTGTTATATGCGGTGGCTTTGAGGTATAGTGCTCACAGGCTATTCTGCCTTATGTGCTTTCTGACCGTTTATTGTAAGCTAGTGTGAAAAGTCCTGTATGAAGCCCAACCCAAGGCTTGTTTTGGGGATTCTGCCTTGGCATTCTTTCAGGGGCTGGGCCATGTTGTGTGCAGCTGTTTGCTCTTCAGCTGGCCTTTAGCAAATGTGGGTGTCCAGCTAAGTGGCACGGCTTCAGATGAGGCCACGGGGCTGTTACCAGCTGAGTGTTTTTTATTGTGGTACTCCAAAACATCACGCACAGCTGTTGTTTTCTAATAATTACAACATGGTAAATAATCCTAAGCCCTTCAGCTCCATTGAAAGCCATGCTCAGGAAAGGATGTTTTTGTCAGAATGGAAAACATGTTGTTAGCTTTTATATGCTATTATATTAGCACAGATTTATGGTTTCTAACTGTGGAGCTGGATGAAACAAAAATCATATTTTAGAATCTTGCGCTTGTTAAATTCTGGGTATATCCAAATGCAAATAGAGTTTTATTGCAGTGCACCATACAGTATTCTGGCGCCTACCTGTTGGACGTAGTGTTGTGACAGCTCCATCCTTAACAGGCTTGTTGGAATAGTTAGAGAAGCATTGTTTTGATTCCGGCATTGCCATGCCTGCCAGTCTGCCACCCTCCAGTGAAATACAGCGTGCTGTTCATATTGCAGGTTATTTCTTATAAGCTGATAATTTTTCCCCTTGTTTTTCTTGTTTTTATTATTATTGCAGTGGAGGGGGGAAGTACAGAAGTCTCACCTGTTTTCCCCTCTTAAAAGAATAGACAACTGCTTTGGTGATGTTGCAGATTTACCAAAGACAGCTGAGGGACATAATACCCACATTATTCATCTTCATGTAACCTGCTTACTGGACACATTTAAGTGTCTCATTGATATTTTGGGAAATTGTGCTGAATATAAAGTTATGCATGTAAAACTAAGCTTTTAAAAAAACTGGGGTATTTTTGTACTAGAGTAGATTTAAAAATAATTTAGTCAGTGCTCTGCATGGTGGATGATGTGCTTTCTTAGCTGTTTTGACCCTAACAGTTTTGGTAGAGTGGTTTTATTTTTACCAATCCTTTCCCCTTTATTTAAGCATACGAGAATAATAAAGAGACAGGTGTAGCTGCGGTTACACAGCAGAACTAAAGAAGTTTAGTGGCCTGTTCAAAAATCCAGCTGAGCTGTCTACAGGCAAGAATTTGTTGAGGTAATGATGTGGTATTTGCTGGAATGGCACTAATGCGACGGTCAAAATATGGTCCTGTGTTTATCTTATTTTGATAAAGAATTTTCAGCAGGATGAGAGCATTGGCTTCTTGCCAAGTTCAAAATAGAGGACTTTTTCATAAACATCTGCACTGATAAAACCCTAAAAGAGCTGAAAATATCCTACCTGAGACTAAACCAAGCCCAGACATTATTTGAAAAGTGGCACCTAGCTCAAATCTGTTGCAACATCATCTCTACACACGAACAAGCAGCGTGCTAATGTGTCCATAAAAGCTCTCCAACCTCCATTGTGTCCAAAGCTTTAGGTGCATTATGAAGCTATAACTAACTTACTTTCAAGCTGACAATTTGTCTGCTTTCAGAGTAAACATCATCCTCTTTGGGTTGCTAAATGGAAAATGTTTTGTAGATCTGAAAATGTTGGCGTGCCCTTGATTTTCTTTTTTAAATCCTCTGTGTATAAAGATCCCTCTATTACATTTCTCTGGACTCAGAGAAGTGAATGCATCTCAGTTAGCTCGCAAGCTACAAAAAAACGTCTTCCTCTTCCCGTCTGATGTTTATCTCTGCCGAGTAGTGCGTCCTTCTTTCTGTCTGTGTGATTCATGTGAGTCCCAAGATGGCTTTACTCTCTCATGAGCGGCAGAGCCTTATCTTGATAGTAATTGAGTGTACTTTGCAGACTCTGGTCAGATGTTTGTATCTTCTGCCTCAATCTGTAGTGTATCAAACAGATTTGTGTTGTGTATGGCAGATATAGATGATAAACGAAAACAAACCCGGGCTCAAGTAGAGCAACGTTATTGTGTCATATTTGTTCTGGGTCAGCAGAGATGAAGCCATCAGCAAGACATTTTTTTACTTATCCCTTATGCCTTTATGCTGTGATGCATAAGGGATATGTAAAAATATCCCTCATGCATAACTGTTAGCGTGCAGTTTCTAGTATCATCCATGGCCTTAATCTCTTAGATTTATTTTCCAGTTTTCTGTAAATTCAGTGATTAACCCTTTGCTGAGACCATTAAATCTGGGTACAAGTAAAGAACGCCTGACTGTCAGATAATATGATCTAAATTCACCCTTTCACCTCCTCAATAAGTGTTTCATCTCAAGGCATGGGTATTGTTTCTCTTAGCAGGGGAGCTGCTGTAATCTGATTTCATAACAGGAAAAGAGGAGCTAGTAATCTCATGCTGCACACACACTGTCTGCTTAATCCTCTGCTTCCTTTTGGAATCATATACATCAGCCGCCTCCAGTGCCCTTCAGGATTGTGACACAGTCGCCACATCTGTTTGCACCATGTTTACAATCGTTGTTTGACACCTGATGCTAAATGGTATATGGTATTTTGAATGATTTAAATGAAGCAAGCTTTTAGGCTGAGGAATCATCCCCAAAGAGCATGTTGTTAATGCTCTGTTACAGAAGCAACATTTGACTTCATGGCATGATACTTGGCAAGATGCCCATGCAAAATATAAACAACTCAGAACAAAGGTGCATTTAGAGGGATGACAGCTCTATTTTTAAAGCAGATACTGAAAGTGACAATATTGCAAATGTAACTGGATCGTGATGTTTTTATTTTTCTTGTTAGAGAAATAAGAATCCATAATGTGGCTTTCTTTTAGACATGTTTCATATTTTAGTCACATTAATAGTTAAACTAGTTCCCTTTTGTTTTATCATGTCTTCAAATAAGATTTCAACTTGGCTCCATGCTGTCCATGCTGTTCACACGCTTTGCTGACAGAAGACCAATCAGCACCTTCACGCCCCTCTTTTTCGTGCTTACTCCCACTGCTTGATATGTGTCAAAATTCTCTTGGTTTCCTTCCCTGCTTTCCTGGAGGAGGAGGAATTTCCTTGGGAAACATTCCACATTCCTGGCAACTAGAGAGCTGCTGGTGCAACTGAAATCAGCCTCCTTCAGTCTGGTTTCAGTACCCTTCTCCCTT